AATTTTTATAGCTGGGCGTGGTGGCGCACGCCTTTAATCCCAGCACTTGGGAGGCAGAAGCAGGTGGATCTCTGAGTTCAAGGCCAACCTGGTCCACATAGCAAGTTCCGGAGTAGCTGTGGCTACAGGGAGACCCTGTCTCAAAAAGACCGAAAAAAAAAAAGAAAAGAAAAAGCTTATGTATTTTTTCTTTCGAAATGGGATCTCACGTAGCCCGGGCTGGCCTTTGAATTTGCTATGTAGCTAAAGGTGACCTTGATCTCTGATTCCCCAGCCTGTACTTCCATCCTGAGTCCTTGGATTAAAGGCTTGTAATACAATACCCAGTTTTGCCATTTGAAAATCTAAAAATTAAAACCCAAACCTACAACCAGGCAGCCATTGTGAGATACTTCAGGGGAGTCTAGGGGTATGCTTGGTGGAGGGGTGCAGGGCCTGGCTCCATGGGCCAGACTCTGCTGCACAGCCACACCCTGGGATTGTTCCTGTCCCCAGGCCTTTGGGTTCACAAAATAGATGCCCAGCCAAGCATGGTGGGTTCGCCCAGGGTGTTAGGAAAGCCCTGGCTGCTCTTTCTAGAAAAGACAGATTGGAGGGCTGGGTTTCAGAAGTCTAAATATAGACCACTGAGTGGGCGCTTTCTGACTTGGGCAAAGCCCACAGTGGGGGTAGGGAAGGAGACCCATTTTTTTCCTGTAAATATTTTCCTCCAGAGAGGAAACTGTGGTCTTGGGTCCTATTGTTTGAGTACAATGGGCTCTCCTTTCAAGAGTGTCCTTTTCCCCTGAGGAGCAGCAGTGGAGAGCTGGGGAGAGGAGTCAGGGAGAATACTGAGGGACTAGAGACCCAGGAGGCCTGAAGGTGTGGGCACAAAAATCCTAATTCCTCACATCAATACACATGGTACCCGGTCCTTTTTAAACCAGCAGCATGTTTATTACAGAACAAGCAGAACCTAAGGAGAAACTGAGATTCCAAGATTCCCCTGGATCCCCACTGTCCATCGCAGCTTCTGTGCCTCCCTTCTAGAAGCTTCCTGGTGCTTGTCTGCTCAGGGAATGTGTTTCTTGATGGCCATAGCTTCAGGTTGGGCTTCCAGTCCTGATGTCCAACATCAGTTCTGGAGCTGGGAGCCCGCCCCAGGCACTCCTGGTACCTTCATAGTCATAATGACTCAGAGCAGCTCCTGAGTGCTTTGCATGTGCTGCCTGCCTAGTGCCCCTGCCATAGTCCCCATTTTACAGATGAGAAAGCTAATGCCACATGAGTCAGGCAGAGCTTTGTAGGGCTTTGTAGGAAAGTGTAGGCCTGCCGTATCCCACACAGGTCACCTACCTGCCAGGCACAGGTCAAACATCAAAAACTCCCAGACTGAGGCCCCTCTGTCCCCACCCCAGCAGCTGTCAGCTGTGGTTCTCTGGAGACAAGTTAAAGTTTTCATTTCTCTGTGGGCAAACTGAGGCCCAGAGTTGGGCAGAGACTTGCCCCAGTGTTGGAGCCTTTGAAGTACTACTGGTCTATGGACATGTCCTTTCCAACCCAGTGACTGCTGTGCACTGAGGTGGCGGTGACAGATAGGGAAAGCAGCCTGTTCCCTAGCCCTGTCCCCAGGCAGCTGTGCCTGCTCTGGGCCTGGACAGAGTGGGAGACCCTAGGCCTGGTCTGGCCTTGAATTGGTGCCCAGGCTGGGTTCCACTAATGTCCTGCTTGGACTCTCAGTGAGTCCCTCACTGACCTGAACCTCAGACCTCCATGTGTAGCCTGACCTTGGAGGCCTGAAGAGGTTGGGATGGGGGGCATCACTAGTAAGGGATGAAAATGCAAATGCCGATGGTTGCCACCTTCTGGGGACCCCCTGTTCCTCACTCCTTGCCCCTTCCTGCCCACAGGTACCCCTGGATGAGCGCATCATTTTCTCTGGGAACCTTTTCCAGTACCAGGAGGACAATAAGAAGTGGAGGAACCGCTTCAGCCTGGTGCCTCACAACTATGGGCTGGTGCTGTACGAAAACAAAGTGGTGAGTGGTGTGCTGGCTGGCTGCTCCCCTGGGTCAGCTGCTGCTTCTCCAGGTGCTCCCTGGCTAGCCGTCCTCCTCCACACTGGTTCTCACGGTGTAAGACCCCCCCCCCATTCTAAAATCTGAGACTTCAGACCCAAACCTCATGCTTACCCACTTCAGGCCTGCCATCCAGTATGTGTCCACAGTGTTACCAGCGCCAAAGCAAAACCTCTGCACTTTTCCTGTTTTCCCGAACCTGCTCGGCCTCAGGAAGATGGTGGGATGGTGGAGGTGGTGCCCTTCTTTTCCAACGTGATTTTATTCTGTGTCCAGTTCATAAACCCGTCATAAAACCACCCTACCCACCTTCTAATCACCCAGTTTCCACCAAGTGCCTTCCTCACAGCCCAGACCTGCCCTCTGCCCACCTTGGCCTCCTTCCCGGCTGGCTTCCTGTCTCTCCTGGGACCTCTCCCCATCCTTTCTTGCTCTTTAACAATCACAACAGCTCTTTGCCGGTCTGTCTGTGCTCCAGGCTTGCTCCTGCGTGCCTCCCTCTGGATAGGGGTCCTGTATCTCCCTCTCCATTCCTTCCTGTCCTCTTCGTGTCTGAGAAGAAATGGGGGCTGATCTTTGCCCACCTGGTTAAGCCACAGACTTGATTTTATGTACCAAACAGTTCTCTAGAGCTGCCCAAAAGACAGGCCTGTCTGACCTTTTTCAGAGTGGAAGTGTTTTTAGAATCATGGAAATAGCCAGGAGCAAGCTTGTGCCCCAGGGAAGTGGCTCTCAAATGACAGCATGCCTCAGAATCACTTGGAGGGCTGTTAAAAAGGCTGCTGGGCCTACTCCCAGAGTTTGCGCCAGATCTGGGCATGGTCAAGAATTCACCCTTCCAAGTTCTAGGGTGGGGTTGAAGGTCAGGGACCATTGCAGATCATTGCACTAAAGGTTCAAATAGTGACCCCTAGTGGTGGACAACAGCATGGCAGCCCAGCTGTATGAGCAGTTAGGTCAGAATCCCCTTCACCCTGCCTTCCCCCACTGCTGCAGGAAAGCTGTGTACTGATCTAATTCTCCTTTAAAGGACACTGTAGGGGCTGGAGAGATGGCTCAGCGGTTAAGAACACTGGTTGTTCTTGCAGAAGACCCAGGTTTGAATCCCAGCACCCCCATGACAGCTAACAACTGTCTATAACTCCAGTCCCAGGGGATCTGACAGCCTCTTCTGTCCTCCGTGGGCATTGCACGACACGGGTGCACTTATCTACATGCAGGCAATACACTCATAACACTAAAAATAATAAATATTTTTTTAAAACTGTTTTTTTTTTTTTTAAAAAAAAGGACACTGTAATGCTTAGGACCTGGAAAGTTGGGGCGAGAGGAGTTAAAGGTAAAGGCCAAAGACTGTGGGTTCTGGAGGCAGCCCAGGTTCATAGCCAACATCCGCTGCCTCCCAGCTGTGTGAATTATGGATAAGCTACCTCGTAGATTGTGAACATCCTCTGAAGTGAAGCATCCAGTGTCCCCACTACAGGTCTGATATATAATAGACTTGCTGGACACAGGGGCATGACTGCTACCCTTGCAGCAAAGCTCTCTATATGTCAGGCACTGTGCTAAGTACTTTGTGTGGATTGTCCCCGTTCTTCCTTACCCAACTCTGGAGGTCAGGGACCAGAGCCAGGTCTCGTTGTTATACTACTCTGTCTCTAGTCACTATGATAGTCACCATCACCCCCTTTCCCTCCATTCTGGGGACTGAACTCAGTCCCTATAGCATGCTAGACAAGCACTCTATCATTAAGCTACTTCCCAGCCCTAGTCAATCATTCCTTATTTGTTTGTTTATTTATTTATTTTTATTTCATGTGTATGAGTGTTTTGCTTGCATGTATGTAAGTGCACTCATGTCATGCAAAACCCATGGGGGCTAAAAGAAGGTGCTGGATCCCCTGGAACTGGTGTTATGGCCACCAAGTGGTTGCTGGGACTTGAACCTGGGTCCTCTGCAAGAACAGCCAGTGCTTTTAATCACTGACCATCTCTCTAGCCCCACAGTCACTCACTTCTTCTTACTCCTCTACCTGGACAGGCAGTTCTCTCTCTGGAGCCAGAGTTGGAGATAGGGTTTGTGCTTGGCCACCCCTTCAACTTGGTGGGTCCATTTCTCTTGCTCTCCTCAGGCCTATGAGCGGCAGATGCCACCCCGAGCTATCATCAATTGTGCAGGCTACAAAATCCTCACCTCTGTGGACCAGTACCTGGAACTTGTTGGCAACTCCCTACCAGGTAAAGGACCAGCTGTCGCCAGTCATGTTGTCATGCATAGACAGGCCTTGGGACTGGCCAGGAAAGGGGGTGAGCCAAGGCCATTGCTCCAGGCCCCATTGTGTGGAGCAGCCAGCTGGGCCTAAAGGTGCCTGCAGATCCCTTGAGCAACTTGAACCCTCAAAGGGGAGGTCCCCAAAGGCTTGAGAAGTGGGGTTTGCCTCAGATTGTATGTGGAGTGGGCCCAGACCCGGACTCATGTGGGCCCTCAGCCAGAGCCTTACGTGCTGAAGCTATGGAATGAGGCTCTCACCTTTGCCTTTCCCACTGTCTTGAGACCTTGAGAGTCTCTGGAAGAAGATGATGATGACCCTGCCCAGCGGATGCTGAGTCTTAGAGTTTTATGCAAACAGTCCCCAGCTGGGACTTGGAATTGAAGCCCTGTGGTGGTGGAGGCTGGGCAGGAGTTTACCTTTCTGGACTTAAGGGCTGACTCTGGCTCTTTTGCTGGGTCCATGCAGATAAGACCCACTCCCTTCTGATCTCAACTTCCTCAGCATCTACAGAATCAGAGTACTGAGAGGACAGGCCTCACTCAGGGTGTGGTGCTATATGCATAGCCCAGCCCAGGCTCACCCAAATCTGGGCGACAGAGAACTGTTATTGGTGTATTAGTGACCACAGTGGCAGATCATCCATAGCTCAGGACTTGTTACCTTGCTGGATCTCAAATATCCATGAAGGCCAAAGAGAAAGAAAAATTCTTTTCATTTCTTTCATTACCCACTTGCCTCCCTCCCTTCCTGGGCTTTTAAACCTCCACTTTGTCCTCTGCAGCTGAAAGGAAACCTAAGAAGGTAATGCTTGACCTTTGAACTAGAGGGCTCTGACCTGTGTCATAGTGCCTTACGCACAGAATTTAGACCCATGCCCCAAAAGGGAGATGGACAAGTCCTTTGCTCCAGACAAAGGGTCTGTACAGGTGCTGAGTTATATTTTCTTTTTTCTTTCTTTCTTTCTTTTTTTTTTTTCGGTCTTTTTGAAACAGGTCTCCCTGTAGCCCCAGCTGGCCTGGAACTCACTATATAGACCAGGCTAGCCTTGAACTCAAAGAGATCCACCTGCCTCTGCCTCCCAAGTGCTGGGACTACAGGCATGCGCCACCATGCCCGGCTTGGGTTTTCTTTAATAATATTTTTTGATTTATTTATTTTTATTTTATGTGTATGAGTGTTTTGCCTGCATGTATGTAAGTGCACTATGTGTGTGCAATGCCCATGGAAGCCAGAAGAGGGTGTTGGATCCCCTGGAACTGGAGTTATGGACTGAATCCCAGTTCTTTGCAAGAACAGCCAGTGCTGTTAGCTGCTGAGCTCTCTCTCCAGCCCCCTTGATGCTGGGTTTTGAGGTTTTTGTAGCTGGGCTGTGGATGATAGAATGCAATCAGCTGCTTCCTTACTGACCTGCCACCACCCCAGGCCAGCCTTCTCTAGGCCTGAGCCTGCTCCTCAGCTATGCTGTCAGCTCCCAACTTTCCTCTGACCCAGGGAAACTGGAGGGCAGCTGCTCAGAGATGTGTCTCCACAGGGACGTCATCGAAGTCAGGCTCCGCCCCCATCCTCAAGTGCCCCACACAGTTCCCGCTCATCCTCTGGCACCCTCACGCCCGCCACTACTACTTCTGCATGATGACGGAAGCCGAGCAGGACAAGTGGCAGGCTGTGCTTCAGGACTGCGTGCGACACTGCAACAATGGTGAGCATTGTTTGCTAATATGCTGAGTGGTGGGACCAGTGACAGAGTGTGATGTGGCTACCTTGCTCTATGAGCTGCTCGCTCCAATTTCCCTTCTGAGGTCACAAGACACTGTTTTGATTATCACCCTTAATCTTCCATGATGAAAATACTTCTGCATTGCCTGGGAAATTGTTCTCAGAGGGCTGTGGTTGAGCCCCTGGACCCTGGATTCCAAAATCATAGTCAAAATTTTGCCATTTTCTAGTAGTGTGATGTTAGGAGAATGTATAAGTTGCCTGTCTTATTGCTGTGACAGAATGCCTGACAAAATCAACTTAAAGTAGAAAATGGTTTGTTTTAGCTCCCAGTTCAAGGGAGGGCTATTGTGGTGGCAGGAGATTGAGGCTGCTGGTCACATCACATCCACAGTCAGGAAGCAGAGCCATAAATGCTGCTGCACAACTCCCTTTCCCTCTTTTTTGTTTGTTTGTTATTCAGTCGGGGACCCCAGGCTGTGGAGTGCGGCCCACATTTAGGGTGAATCTTCCTACCTCAATGAGCTTAATCTAGGAAATCCCTCACAGATGTTCCCAGGGATTTGTTTCTATGGTGATTCTAAATCCTGTCAATTTGGCAGTCAAGATTAGCTATCAGAGAATGACCACCCTCTCGGGTTCCTTTTTTCTTTTTATAATTTTTTTGTGTGTATGAGTGTTTTGCCTGCATGTATGTAAGTCACATGTGTCATGCAATGCCTGCAGAGGTCAGAAGAGGGCATTAGATCCCCTGGAACTGGAGTTACAGTTATTAGCTGCCATGTGGGTGCTAGGAACCAAACCTGGGTCCCCTGTAAGAGCAGCCAGTGCTTTTAACTGCTGAGCCATCTCTCCAGTCCCATAATTGTCTTCTTTCATTAGCACCAACATGCATGGTGATCTAAGATCACTTCCTCATCTGTAACTCATGCTGTGATTTATCAGCTCACTCATTTATTCAGCAAACATTTGTAGTGCCTAATCTGAGTTTGTAGAAAGAGAGAAAGGCGTGTTCCCTGCCCTCATACAGCTGCTGTGTGATGCGGAGACGGATGTGGAACAGATGAGCTACCAGGATGATGTCTTCTGTGTTGGGTGCTGACTGAGAGGCTTAAGCATGTGTTGGGGGAGGTACTTCCCTGGGGCTAGGGAGGGGAGAGGGTAGGGTCCAGGGTAGAGGTGATGAGCAGTCACCAGATCCAGGGAGGAGGACTGTGGCCACAAGGAGGGTGACCTGGAATGGTACTGGGTGTGTGTGTATGTGTGTGTGTTCTGAAGTGGGGCTGGAGGGGAGCTCTGAGGTTGGGTCTGGAACGGCCCTGTAGGGTTCTAAGGAATTATAGGGGTCTTTCTGCCCTTGGGTGAGCAGCAGCCTATCCTGCACCTTGACCTGGTGATCTGGTCCCAGAGGAAGAGGGCGATCCGTGCCAGTTCTCTGCCCTCACTCAGGCACAGCTCCACCAGACTGTGAGGGCAGTGTGGGCACCTGGGAAGAACCCAGCTCACCCCACCTCTCTAGAAACACCTCCACCCTTCTGGAATCCGTCAGGCAGGAGGAACCAGGTCTTTAGCCGGGCCAACCCCTGCCACCTGGGCTGAGCCCTGCCCTGCCACCCACAAAGGGCCTCCTGTTCCCAAGTCCCTGGGGCTGTGGCGCTGGCTCAGGCTCTGGCTGTCTGGCCTGGGGCACCCTCCTTCCTCCCCCATCACTGACCCATGGGCCCTCTGTAGATTCCCAGAGCTGCTGGCTTACTTAGTGTGGCGGGGTGAGGGAGCAGGGTGAGGACGGGACCAGTTGGGGAAGAGCCACCATTCAGTTCCCTAGGTATACACTACACACAGCAAGCGTTCAGCTGGGAGGCCTTAGGTACTGTGGGCAGGAGAGGAGGACCTAGAGAGCTGTGACAGAAACATCCCCCAGGCCAGGCAGGATCTGTCTGACAAGGCTGGTTTCAGATGTGGCCCTTCTCTCTACCCCAGGACTGTGAGAAAGTTCTCTGCTTCCTCCCTTGTTGAGGCTGGGCCTGGAATTTGTGGAGCCTGGAATTGCTCATTCCTGGCCTTGCCAGGAAGTGGGGGTGGGTGGGTGAGGGAAGCAGGCCAAGCTGGGTGGCTGCCAGCCAGGCCAGGGCCCCCCTCACATCCTGCATTCCTGGAGCAGTGGGGGGTGGCAGGAGGCAGCTAGGGCACTGGCTGGGTCCTGAGTCTTCCATTGCTGTTGGTGCTGGGGACAGAGGCTAAGGCTCTTTGTCTGACTGCAGTTATCCTCTGCCTGCTGCCCAGCTGTACTGCTCAGTCTTCAGTCTGGCTAGAGTCAGAGGGTCCTGGTTCCAACCCTGATTTGATGGATGTATGCTCAAGCCAGTGGCCTTGTCTCAGTGTCTTTTGAGACAAGTTCTTGAAATGTAGTCCAGGCTTGATATGTAGTCCAGGCTGGCCTTGAACTTGTGGAGTTCCTCCAGCTTTAACTTCCTAAGTGCTGGGATTACAGGTGTATATCACCACCTCACCTGGCTGGAGCCTCAGTTTCATTGAATCTAAGACCAGCATCCTCACTTGGGAGCTTTGAGGTTAAATGGGCTGATGTGTGCGCTCAGGGCTGCCAAAAAAGGGCGGCTGGGTGGCTCACACGACAGAAATGTCCTTTTTCTTCCAGTTCTGGAGGCTAGAGATCTGGGTCAAAGTGTCAGCAGGGCTGTTCCATTGTTGAGCACATGATTTTTTTCTTTTTTTGTCTTTTTGAGACAGGGTCTCCCTGTAGCTCCAGCTGTCCTGGAACTCGCTATGTAGACCAGGCTGGCCTTGAACTCACAGAGATCCACCTGCCTCTGCCTCCCAAGTGCTGGGACTATAGGGGTGTGCTGCCATGCCCGGCCGAGCACATGATTTTTTAAAAAAAGATTTTATTTATTATTTTTATTTTATGTGCATGAGTGTATTGCCTGCATGTGTTAAGTGGACCCATGTCATGCAATGCCTATGGAGATCAGAAGAGGGTGTTGGATCCCCTGGAACTGGAGTTACATATAGACAGATGGCTGTTAGCTGATGTGTGGGTGCTGGGACTGAACCCAGGTCCTCTGTAAGAGCAACCAGTGCTCTTAACAACTGAGTCACCTCTCCAGTCCCAAGCACATGAAAAAAAAAATTTTTTTTTTTTTTTTTTTTTTTTTTTTTTTGTAATAGTGTCTTGCCTAGGCTGACCCCAAATCTCCTGACTCAAAGTGATCATTCAACCCCAGTCTCCCAAGTAGCTAGCACTGCAGGTGCACACCACCACATCAGGTGCATACCATCACATTAGCTACTTGCTTTCTTTTAAAAGAATTTTCTCGGGGCTGGAAAGATGGCTCAGAGGTTAAGAACACTGACTGTTCTTGCAGAAGACCCGGGTTCAAATCCCAGCACCCACATGGCAGCCAACAGCTGTCCACAACTCCAGTTCCAGGGGATCAGACAGCCTCTTCTGTCCTCCGTGGGCATGACACGGGTGCACTTACCTACATGCAGGCAATACACATATATGTAAATAATAAATATAAAAATTTTTTTTCCCCTTTTGCTGGATATTATGGCTCAAGCCTATAATTCCAGACTTGGGAGGTTAAGGCTATCCTATCCTGGGCTACATAATGAGTTCCAGGCCAGTCTGGGCTAAGGTGAGACACTGTTTCAAAAACAAAACAAAAAATAGCACTGGGAAGATAACTAAATGGATAAAGTGCTTTCTATGCAAGCATGAGGATCTCAAATTGGATCCAGACTAGCTGAAATAGTGAACTCCAGGTTTAGTGAGAGATTTTGTTTCAGAAATAAGGTGGAGAGAGAAAACACCTTATATCAGCCTCTGGCCTCCACGTGAGCGCCTGCGTGCGCGTGCACACACACACACACACACACACACACACAAATAGAAGACATCTCTTTTTCTTCTGAAGACACCAGTCACCCTAGCCCCTCAGTTAAACTTTGCTCTAGGAGAGATAAGTTGATACAAATACAGCCCATTCTGAGGTACTGAGGGTTAGCGCACTCCAGCTGGGCCCATGGGAAGAGCCAGGGAGGGGTGACCCTCAAACCTGTCAAGGTCAGTGGCTGGGTGTGTAGAGTGGAGGAGGTCCTCAGTACCAAGCCTCCCTTGTGCTTCCCATTGCCTCACCCTCTTCGCTGGATCGCCCTGCCATACACACCTGCCTTGCTGTATACAGAATAGAAATTCCTGGACCTGGGGGAGTTAAGCATTGATGGATTTTCTAGATAGAAACACTCATCTCCAAGAGACTGTGTCCTTCAGAAAACCCAATTGGAGGTTCCTCCCAGACCCACATGGGCAGCCCTGGCTTCCACCTGAAGTCCACCTGCTCTCTTCTCAGCATGGCTGTCCGACTTGGGTCTCTGAAATGCAGACATAGGTGCTGTTAGCTCTGAGCCTCAGTGTCTCCATGGCAGAGCTCCCTCTGACCATGACAGGAAGATCCTGACCCCTGTAGCCTGCTGGTTATGGGGAAGGGAGGGGCCCCACACCAGAGAGGGGCTTTTTCCTCTGTGGGTGACTCATCCCATTGTCACTGTAGTGGGCGCTGGGGTTTATGATACACAGGCCGCCGTTTCCCCTTCCTGGGCTCTGGGGACACCGTGGTCAGAGGCACATGGCCAGGCTCGGTGGTGTTAACCATGCTCTCTCCCCTAGTCAGATTTGGCAATTTCCTGCCTCTCGCCTCCTCAGCACAGGTCTGGGGTCCATGCCTTGTCCATTGACTGTCCATTGACTCACCCACCCTGCCACATCGGCTACCAGCATCATCAGTAGCAACAACAGTGCAGAAATAGTAATTTTTTTCTTGTTGTTACTGATAGTAAACCCCCCACTCCGTTTCACTTGTTCACTGTCTCTCCTTCTATCCTTCCCTCCCTCTTCTCCCTTTCTTCTTGTTTCTGGTACTAGGGGCTGAGATCAGGGCCTTGTGTGTACTGCAAGCACTTTACCACTGAGCCATATCCCTACCTGTTCATTCAGTAAAGCTCTTCAAGCACTTGGCACTGATATGGGCACACAGAGAAGACAGACTCAGGGGCCATCAGGGCTGTGAGAACCAGTTCCTCAGTTTTTGATAGAAAGCGTCTTCAGGGGCTGGGGATATGGCTTGGTGGTAGAGTGCTTGCCTAACATTCTCAGAGCCCTGGGTTCAATCCCCAGCCCCTCAAAAAACCAAAATCACACAAAGTATCATTCAGTCCCAGACGCCACCCCGTTGGACTTCCTGGGGCTTATAATTTACCCCTACTGCAGGTCAGGGAGCCCCCAGTGGGATGCAGGAGGCTAGGCCAGGGTTATTGTTTCCAGAAGAGAAATGGAGGCCCCTTTGGGGTTCAGTGATAAAGTCCAGGAAACAGCCCATGGGTCAAGTTTAGCCTCTGGTCTGCTTTAGCAGCAGGTGCACTAGATAAAGGTTGACCATGGCTACTGACAGCTGGGTACCAGATAGAGTATTAGGACAGGGGTTGTCTGATCTTCACAGCTGGAAATATTTACTGTCAGATGTGCCATGGGACGTTCACAGAACATTGACGTAGCCAGAGCTACAGTAGGGTCTCAGGTGTCCCGGAGCCATGCCAGGCAGCCTCTCGGGGAGGAGTAGCTCCTAGGAGTTCTGACTGTGCCATTCATGCCCTTGGCCTGACCTTGGAGCTGGTTTGTTTTTCTGTGAGGTGGGGTTACTGACAGTGCTAGGGGTCTGGGAGTCTTGGAGGGTTGAGGTGATGAGGAGGCATGGGGTTGTGGAGCTGAGACTCCTGCAGGCTGAGTCACAGCCACCCCTGCTGAGTGTGTGGGTGAATACATGCTCTGGCCTGTCACATGGTCTTGACAGAAGGCCCTTTGCTGATCTCTCCTCTCCTTCCTCCTGGGCAGGGATCCCTGAGGCCTCGAAGGTAGAGGGCCCTGCATTCACTGATGCCATCCGCATGTACCGCCAGTTGAAGGAGCAGTATGGCACCTGGGAGATGCTGTGTGGGAACGAGGTGCAGGTGAGGCCAGAAGGGAGCGTCCTCACAATTCACCCTGGGGCCCCAGTGGGTGAGGTTGGCATCAAGAATGGGGCTCTTGGGGCTGGAGAGATGGCTCAGTGGTTAAGAGCACTTGCTGCTCTTGCAGAGGACCTGGGTTTGGTTCCCAGCACCCACATGGCGGCTAACAACCATCCTTAACTCCAGTTCCAGGGGTCTCACACCCTCTTCTGGCCTCTGTGGGCACTGCACTCACAGTACACTTACACACACGAAGTCAAAGCACTCATACACATTGAAATTTCTTAAATTAAAAAGGAAGAATGAAAGAATGAGGCTGTGGGGTGCAGCAGGTACAGAGAGAGGTGATGAGCTCAGATTTGGATAAGTGAGACTCCACACCATCAGGTGCTGGGCTGGGGCAGCCCCAACCCTCAGAAGCTCCAGCTCATAGGAGACACTGATTCTACAAACACACATTTGCATATATAGCAAAGGAACAGGAGACGTGCAAAGGCCTCGAGGTGGGACCCCTGAGTCCAAGGACCCAGGTCTGACACCTTGAGAGCCAGCACAGCAGAGGTGGGACCCCTGAGTCCAAGGACCCAGGTCTGACACCTTGAGAGCCAGCACAGCAGAGGTGGGACCCCTGAGTCCAAGGACCCAGGTCTGACACCTTGAGAGTCAGCACAGCAGAGGTGGACCCCTGAGTCCAAGGACCCAGGTCTGACACCTTGAGAGCCAACACAGCAGAGGTGGACCCCTGAGTCCAAGGACCCATGTCTGACACCTTGAGAGCCAGCACAGCAGAGGTGGGACCCCTGAGTCCAAGGACCCAGGTCTGACACCTTGAGAGCCAGCACAGCAGAGGTGGACCCCTGAGTCCAAGGACCCAGGTCTGACACCTTGAGAGCCAACACAGCAGAGGTGGACCCCTGAGTCCAAGGACCCATGTCTGACACCTTGAGAGCCAGCACAGCAGAGGTGGGACCCCTGAGTCCAAGGACCCAGGTCTGACACCTTGAGAGTCAGCACAGCAGAGGTGGACCCCTGAGTCCAAGGACCCAGGTCTGACACCTTGAGAGCCAACACAGCAGAGGTGGACCCCTGAGTCCAAGGACCCAGGTCTGACACCTTGAGAGCCAGCACAGCAGAGGTGGGACCCCTGAGTCCAAGGACCCAGGTCTGACACCTTGAGAGCCAGCACAGCAGAGGTGTAAATAAAGGGTCAGGCCCAGAGGAGGGGATTTGAGTGCCTTGACTTGTGTGACTCTTGGTTTTAGATCCTGAGTAACCTGGTAATGGAGGAGCTGGGCCCGGCACTGAAGGCAGAGCTTGGTCCTCGGTTGAAGGGAAAGCCACAGGAGCGACAGCGGCAGTGGATCCAGGTCCTCGGGCCTAGAACTCTTGGCTTGGGGCTGAGGAAGAGCTCTATACCTTCAGCCCTGGCACTGACATTCTACTGTGCCCCTAGATCTCGGATGCCGTGTACCGCCTGGTATTTGAGCAGGCCAAGATGCGTTTTGAGGAGGTGCTGTCCCAGCTGCGGCAGTCCCGGCCAGCCATGGAGGCTGTTATCCGCACCGACATGGACCAGATCATCACCTCCAAGGATCATCTGGCCAGCAAGATCCGAGGTAGGTGGATTAGAGCTGGGCCTACGTTGATAGGCCTGCGGGTGCTCATACACAGCCCATCACAACCGGCAAGTGTCTTCTCTCTAGCATGACCCATGACTTGCTTGTCCTTGTGTTGAAAAGTCAGTTGAATCCGAGTTCCTGTAACTCCTGTGAGTTCTATAATTTCTATAAACACAGATTGTTTATTTTTCATTTATTTTGTGGTACCGGGGACCAAATCTAGGGCCTCCAATCTACCTTTGAGCTATATCTCCAGCCCTCTTTTTACTTTTTGAGAGAAGGTCTTACTAAGTTACCCAAGCTGGCTTTAAGACTTGGGATCCTCCTGACTCAGCTTCCTAAGCTTAGATGACAAGCCTTTGACACCAGGCTCACCTTGAACCCAGATCCTGAAAGTAAGGATTTTTGTCTTTGAGGTTTAAGCCTCTCTTCCTCAGCCAGCACAGGTCTGGCTTTGTGTCATCCTGGTGACCATACTTAGTGTTACCTTAGCGGTGCTGAGCTTCTTAACACAGGAAGTGTGTGTGTCTTTCTGTCACCAGCCTGTTCCTTTACCATATCCACTGAATATAGTTTCAGGAGATGGTGGCTTCCTGCAGGTAACAGTGAACTGGCCCTATTCATTGGGAGTGTGATGAGATGCTGAGAGTTGACTTTTTTTGTGGAATAAATGGTAGCTGAGTAGAGGTGGGGTGGACATCAGAACATCCCATGTAAAAATGCTGTAATCAGAATGTTCTGGAGAGCTTGCAGGAAAGCAGGAAAGAACCTTTCCCATAACTGCACAGAGGCAGGGTGTGGAATGGCCTGACGTCTGCAAAACCAAGAGGTTCATTGGATCTACTAAAGTGGTTTTGTTTCATTTTTTTTTTTTTTTTTTTTTTGAGACAGAGTCTCAGGTATCCCAGGCTGTCCTCAAACTTGGTATGTAGCCAAAGATGACCTTGAACTTCTGATCCTCCTGCCTCTATCTCAGGAGTGGTAGAATTACAGGCATGCGCCACCACACCCAAATTTTGGGTCCCCATTTTCTTTGGTATTGATTTGTTATTTTTATTGATGCCTCTCCTAGGGTCAGTGAGCTTGCTCATGTTACCAACACCTCTAACACAGTAGCTCCTCTGGCTTTGGGGCTGGACTGGGCCTGGGCTGGGATGGTGTCAGATCACAGATGCCTCCCACCAGCAGGAGTCTCTCCCTCCCTGTACAGCCTTCATCCTCCCCAAGGCAGAGGTCTGTGTGCGGAACCATGTCCAGCCTTATATCCCATCTATCCTGGAGGCCCTGATGGTGCCTACCAGCCAGGGCTTCACCGAGGTGCGGGACATCTTCTTCAAGGAGGTCACGGACATGAACCTGAATGTGATTAACGAAGGTGGAATTGACAAGCTGGGTGAGGTGAGACCTGGGTATGGGTCTGATGTCCCCCAGAGCATTGGTTGTGTGTGACTCAGGGTAGGCTGGCAGCTCTAGAGACCAGAGGCAGAAGCCACAGGGCAAAGCTAGCATCAGCCCACCTGGGGACTGGAAGCTAGAGGAAAGGGAATATTTACCCATGCCATCCACTTTTCAATTTATCTGTGAATTGTCAAATGTGGAGCACAGATGAGGAAGCTTTTTATAGAGAAAAAGAACTGCTAAAGTATAAAGGAATTTAACAGCGAGGGAACCAGGGAAGGAAGGAGAGGAAAGATAAGCATCAGGTATGAGCAGTGTTGCCAAGTCATGTACCCACAGGTGCAGACCGCCTGTCTTTCTTTCGGGTCCTCTTAATCTGGCTCTCAGGGTATCTTTCTGTAGTCCCTATTGGCTGCCTGCAGATACATGGTAGGTGCAAACAGAATCTGTCTTGAACCTTAGCCTCCTCATCTGTGCTCCACATTTGAGAATTCACAGATAATCAGAATTTGGTTGGGTTGGAGAGATGGCTCAGCTGTTAAGAGCAATGGCTGCTCTTACAGAGGACCAGAGTTCAGTTCCCAGCACCCACATGGTGGCTAACAACCATCTGTAACTCCAGTTCTAGGGGATGTCTTTTTACTTTTTTGAGAGAAGGTCTTATTAAGTCACCCAAGTTGACTTTAAGACTTGGGATCCTCCTGCCTCAGCTTCCTAAGACGACAAGCCTTTGGCACCAGGCTCACCTTGAACCCAGATCCTGAAAGTAGAGATTTTTGTCTTTGAGGTTCAAGCCTCTCTTCATCCTCAGCCAGCACAGGTCTGGCTTTGTGTCATCCTGGTGACCGGGGCTTCTTTCTCTCTCTTCTGACCTCTTCGGGCACTGCACGACTCGTGTGCATTTACACACATGCAGGCAATACACTCATACACATAAAATAAAAAGAATAAATAATGCTGGGGCGTGGTGGTGCACGCCTCTAATCCCAGCACTCAGGAGTCAGGGCAGATGGATCTCTGTGAATTCAAAGCCAGCCTGGTCTATTTAGTCAGTTCCAGCCAGCTGGGGCTAGAGGGAGAGCCTGTCTCAAAAAGACAAAACAACCCATAAAATATTTACAGAATTTGGTAAACAGGAAGGACCTTAGAAATCCTGAAAAAGATGTCTCCCTATTTGGGGACTGTAGACACTGAGGCTCAAAGAGGGTAGGTGACTTGCCCAAGGTCACCAAGACCCCAGAAGGGATGAAAACTGTCTTCCAGCACCCAGGCTGTCCTCTCCCCACGGTACCATGATGCTCGGCCTTCAGATCTTCCTCCCTTCTGTCCCGGATCCTCCCAGGCTTGCCTTATTTGGTATTGTCCCTGTGAGGCCATTCCTGAATGGCTGGTGCCAGGCCCAGGCAAGGAGTGTGTGGGGCTGTGTAGTCACCCCAGTGGCCCCAGCTCCTCACTCATGTGTCCCTGCCCTCTGCAGTACATGGAGAAGCTGTCCCAGCTGGCATACCACCCCCTGAAGATGCAGAGCTGCTATGAGAAGATGGAACCTCTGCGGCTGGATGGCCTGCAGCAGCGCTTCGATGTGTCCAGCACATCCGTGTTCAAGCAGCGAGCCCAGATCCACATGCGTGAGGTAGGCCTGAGGCTGCTGCCCCCAGTCCTCCCTGCTGGCTGCTTCTGTGGCCCCATCGCTGGAGGACAGAGGCCCTTTTCCCCTCTGTGCCCCGTAGTCATGATCACCTGGCTTGCTCTCCCACCACGACTCTGCTTGGACACTTGTGCTTCTTGCTTACCTGCCTGACTCTGGCTGCCCGGCAGGTTTCCTAGATACCCTTCCTCCAGAAAGCGCCCATTCAGCCCCTTCCTTCGCCTTCTATACTCCCAGACTGACACTGGCATTTGTGCCTAGCACTGTACTAGACACACAGTGAGTGTATGAACAAGGGGTCACGTGAACAAGCCTGGGCCACTCCTCACTCCCTTGTGGGCCTGCGGGGAGGCTAGCTGAAGACACTCTGAGCAGCATGCAAGAGGGGGCTGTGGTCACTCTGGGAGAGGCTCACGTTCCGTGTTGTGTGCCTTGCAGCAAATGGACAATGCTGTGTACACCTTTGAGACCCTCCTGCACCAGGAGCTGGGGAAGGGACCCACCAAGGAGGAGCTGTGCAAGTCCATCCAGCGGATCTTGGAGCGGGTACTGAAGGTGAGCACTGTGCTGAGTCCTGCCTGGCTAGCCAAACCCTGAGCTGATTCTCCGTCCACTGCCCAGTTGGCATCTGGTGCTCTGGGCTCTGGTCAGAGCCCCTCACCAGTTAGGGGAGCCCCCCTGACCCAGGCCCCTCCTGCATCCTTCCCTGCAGAAGTATGACTATGACAGTAGCTCTGTACGCAAGAGGTTCTTCCGGGAGGCGCTGCTGCAGATCACCATCCCCTTCCTGCTCAAGAAGCTGGCCCCTACCTGCAAGTCGGTGAGTCCCTACCTGCCCCAGCCCGAGGGGCTGACCAGCGGGGTAGAGCCTCTTATCCCTGGCCACCCTGACCCACCTCTGCCTGCTTCTCTGGCAGGAGCTGCCACGCTTCCAGGAGCTGATCTTTGAGGACTTTGCCAGGTTCATCCTCGTGGAGAACACATACGAGGAGGTGGTACTGCAGACTGTCATGAAGGACATCCTGCAGGGTGAGTGGGGGAGGTGGGGGTGAGGGAGGTCACCCTTGAAGAGTCACAGCTGGCATCAGCTAAGGTGCAGAGAGTCTTAGGACTCTGGACAGAGGCTGGGTCCAGGCCATTGGCATGGAGGTGACATTGCCCCTCCGTATCTAAATTTTGTCTCTGGCCGTTGGTTTTGCTGAGGGTCAGTGAGGGACATGGTGGCTGCCTGCTTGGGCTGTGGGCTCTAGTCATAGCTTTGCAGAGAGAGGCCTAGAGCGAGGCAGAGACCAGTCACAGACCACAGTGAGGGTGAGGCAGGGTCCAGGTAGACACCAGGTCTTGCCTTGATGGTTTCCATGCTGAGCGCATACTGTCTGCCTCCTGTGGTTCTGCAGCTGTGAAGGAAGCTGCAGTTCAGCGCAAACATAACCTCTACCGGGACAGCATGGTTCTGCACAACAGTGACCCCAACCTGCACCTGCTGGGGGAGGGTGCGCCCATCGACTGGGGCGAACAGTATGGTGACAGCAGTGACGGCGGTGATGACAGTGGCAGCCCCAGTCCTTGCACCCCTGATGCAGCCACCCTCACAGAAAAGCGCAGGCGTGCCAAGCAGGTGATGTCCGTGGTCCAGGACGAGGAGGCAGGGCTGCCCTTTGAGGCTAGCTCTGAGCCGCCATCACCTGCATCCCCAGACAGTGTCACTGAGCTCCGAAGCATGCTGGCCCAAGATCTGAGGGCTGAGAGCCCGCCAGCCAGCCCCCTCCTCAATGGGGCCCCTGTCCAGGAGAGCCCTCAGCCCATGGCTACCCCTGAGGCCTCTTCACCACCAGCCTCACCCCTCCAGCAGCTCTCACCTGGAAAGGCTGTGGACCTTGAGCCCCCTAAGCCCAGTGACCAGGAGACTGGGGAGCAGGTGTCCAGCCCTGGGGGCCGCCCCCCCATCCACACCACCACTGAAGACAGCTCAGGAGTGCAGACGGAGTTCTAGGCTCGTGGCCTCCTCAGTTCCCTTGGACATTCGCCAGGCCGCTTCTCCTTGGGCACTGCAGCCTCAGCTCTGTGGAGGGGCACCCCAGCCTGTGCCTTGTAGGGGGATTTGGACGGGGGTGGTGTGGTATCCCTAGGGGTCTGGCCTACCTGAGTCACTTTATGGAGTTCAGTACACCTGTTACTGCTCCTGTTTTCTGTGGGCTGGTCTCAGATGCTGGGTCTACCTTTGAGGTTTCCCTCTTTGTGCAGGGGACTTGGGAGCCCCTCTATCCTGCCCTCCTGCGCTCACCTGTTTCCTCTCATCCTTGGAGGGGTGGTGTCACTGGAAGCCTAGGAAGCTGGCAAACTCCATCTCACCCTGGGGCTCCTTGATACCACCATGGGGAGAAAAAGGGGGAGGGAGACAGACACAAAGTCTTAGTCTGTCCTGTCCCCTCCCTGCCAGGCCCCAAGGCTCGAAAGACTCATGTTTTGGCCTCACTTCGCTGGCCACAGCTGAGGGAAGGTAGGGCTTGGAGGTATTATAGAGGGAAGTGGGACCAGGGGTCTGCAGGTGAAGTGAGAAAGGCCTGGAATGTGCTGGTCTGTGCAGGGGAAGTGTCCTGAGGGAGGGAGGTTGGATGCTTGGGAGCAACTGAGGTCAGGATGGCAAAGTGAAGGTGGCTAGAAGCTGGACCGTCTCAGGGGCCTGGTGCTCCTGTCCATCTGTGCACCCCCCCAATCCCCGCTTTGGTCTGACAGCTGTTCATTGGCAGGGCTTGGGTATGGGCTGTCCTTTCCCGGCCACTCCAAGGTGCTCACTGCCTGTCGAGAAGCTGGAGGGGCTCCTGAGGGACAGTCCAGGCCATGGCTCTCTGAGACTGTTGAAGATCAGTGGCTCAAGACAATGCTTAGCCTCTGTGACCCGTCACCTAGCCCTGACAATTCCAAGCCCCTCTTCAGATGTCCTTGGGAATCACTCTGGGCTTATCCTTTCCTCCCTAGGTGTGAGGATCAGATCAAGGCTGCCTCAGCTAGATGGCCACCTTAGGCCTCCCCAGACCCTCTCTATTCTGCAGGGGTTGGGGAGGGTAAGGCACAAATTGCCTCTTCAAGGCCCCCAGGGTGAGATCCCCTTTCAGCCCTGCATCCTTTGTCCTCTGGACCTGCTTCCTAGGCAGGAGCCTTAGACCCACAGGACATTGGCTGGTGCTCAGGGACCCCCCCCAGTCCTACTCGGTCATGTCATTAATCTCTTACACAATGCTCTCTAGTGCCTTGGGGGTTTTGATCTTTCCAGATATGGTATTGAGAATACTATGCAAACTGTTTAAGCTTCTGCTAATCAATAAATGCTTTATTTAAAACTTGCTCCTTTGTGTGATGCTGGGGTAGGGGCCTGGGCCTGGAGTCTGTGTCTAGGGATCCTATTCACCCCCAGCTTTCTGGGGTCATATAACTGGGTATATGCAGGTGTGTGTGCATGTGGACACCAAAGGATGATCTCGTGTCATTTCTTAGGAGCTGTCTACCTTGTGTTTTGAGATAGGGTTTCTCATTGGTCTGGAGCTCACCCATTAGCTAGGTTAGCTGGCCAGTGGGCATGTTTCTGCTGCCCAAGCATTGGGATTACAGATGTGTGCCACCATTCAAGTTTTTGACATGGGTCTGGGAGTCCAAACTTTCCTCATGCTTGTGTGGTAAGCACTTTATTGTGCTCTCTCCAGTTTGAGTTCTTACATCACCCTATTTTACAGGGGGGAACAGAGGCTCAGAGAGAAGGGACTTGTTTGAGGTCATGGAGAGTACAGGTAACTGATCCAATGGCTGATCAGAATCCTAGTGACCAGTTGGTGGGTTTCAGCCTATGCTGAGTACTAGTGGCCATGCTGGGTCTTTGCAGGGCTATCTGCTGAGTGCTTGCTGTAGGCAATGATGTTTTATGGGGACCAGAAGGGTAGGATACCTTGGCTAAGCTATGTTACAGAGCCCCACCTGCCACTGCAGCTGGTGGGGATGGACTGCCCCATCTATAACTTAGCATTTACTTCCAATGCTGTGGCAGCCAGTCACATTAGGAGGTGTTGGCATCCCTGGTCATCCTGTCCATGGTGGCCAAGAGCTTGGGGCTTGATCCTCCTTTACTCAAGAGGGGTGTGGGGTCACAGCAGGCCAAGGGCTCAGCTGGTATCTTTTTTTTTTTTTTGGTCTTTTTGAGACAGGGTCTCCCTGTAGCCCCAGCTGTCCTGGAACTCACTATGTAGACCAGGCCTGCCTCTGCCTCCCAAGTGTTGGGATTAAAGGCGTGCGCCACCATGCCTGGTGGTATCCTTCTCTTGATCTTGACAAGTTGGTAGGTTTCTAACAAACATGGAAGAGAGGGTGGCAAAAATCCTCTCCCCCTTGGCCCTGGTGAGGAGGTGAGACCCACAAGACAGTGCTCCATAGAATGGCTTGGCCTCTCTGTTCTCCCTTCTTGGCCATGAAGAAGGGTATGGGGGAAGTGGAACCATAAGTCACTAAGGAGAAGACAGGGAAGCCACAGTAACCCCAGTCCTAGATTGACTGTATCCACCGAGGACACTCACCCAGTCCTGCTCGGCACCAAGGGTCAGGAAAACTGAGTCCCAAAGGGATAGACTCTGCCACCCACTCTAAGGCCTGTCCAGTGTCCAGTGCTTGCTTCTCAGTGCCTGCCTAGTGGCTGAGAGAAGTCAGAGTCCCATCCTGTCCCCTACTGGAAAGAGACCTACAGGCTGGTCCAAAGTAAAGGATGCCTTGGGCTCCAAGCCACATCAGAAAACACATGACGGATATGTACAGCTCCTAGAATTCTGCAGGATCATAGGGAGGATGCTGCCCAGTTCCACACCCAGCATGGCCATTTCCCAGTGGCAAGCTCTAGGGGTCAACTCCTTGGCCTTAGCCCCCTTGTCTAGGATAGTGATGGAAGGCCCAACCTGGTGTGCTCACAAATGGAGGCCCCTGTCCCTGATTATCTCCTTTGTCCTTTGTGAACAGGGCACTGCCTAACTTTCCACCTGGGAATGCTTCTGCCTTCTCCCCTTTGACTCAGGTGCTGCAGCTCTGGCCCTTTTCCCTAGAAGAGCTGCTCGACCTCTCCTTGAACACAACTTCTCTCACACCCATCCCAAGCTCCCCAGGGCCCAGGGGTGACTGGGGAAGAGTCTTACATAAATTTATTGGTGTTTCCGCTTTGAGTCCAGCTGCCTGCCATGGGCTGAGAGTGCAGATGTGGAGGGCAAGATGAGGGTGCAGGGAACAGTAGAAGGAGACTGAGGCACACTCCAGCACAGTCCACTCCCTCTCGGGGATGTCCCACATCTCAGGCCAGGATGGCTGTGGGCACTCCACACATAAGGACACCTCCAGGAGGGGCAGACGGCTGGGTGTGGAGCTACGGCTTGGTTAGAACGCTGACTGCAGAGCCCTGGTGGGGCACAGTCACCTTCATACCTTGGACCCTGGACCAGAAAGGTTCTGTCACCAGTGGAGTTGCCCCTCTTTTGTCCAGTGTTCAGGACAGCTGTCAGATTGAGAGCGCCCCACCCTGCCCGCCTGATTGGAGCTCAAGGTGTGTGTGGCCAAAGGCCCAAAGCAGCCTTGCCTGGACAGAGCAGGGGTGAGTGGGAGCCCCAACAGGGGTGAAGATGGTGCTGAGGGAGGGCTAGGGCCAGCAGGAGGCATGCATTCAGCTGCTGTGGTAGATCCGGAGGCTCTGGGTGATCTCCTGGCGGCACAGTGGGCAAGTGCGCAGCGGCTGGCAGCACTGCTGGCAGCAGCAGACGTGACCACAGGTGAGGAAGACCATCTGGGCCTGTGGAGAGACCAGCAGGGGTGGGTTAGGCTGCTCAGTTCTGGAGGGCAGGACCGGGACCCAACCCCATCAGCCGTGAAACATACCGCAGGGCAGGGAAACCTAGTCAGCCTGTTCACAGCTTTGTGTCTGTTTCTCTAAGGATTGCAAATAGCATATAGATACCCACGATTCCTCTAGTGCTGGAAATGGAACCAGGGCCTTGTGCATGCCCCCACCTCCCACATAAAGGGATGGCAGGTGTGTAAAAACACATGTGGCTCTCAGATTATAATTTTCTTGTGCGTATTCAGCTACCCAGCACTGATGCCTACTCAAAAATGACTTTAACCTTATAGGTCAAGAGCCCTGTTATGTGTGCTCAGATTGCTTTAGCACCGCCCCCCCCCCCAGCCCCCTTGGCAGGCATATATCCTGAGGAAGTCTTCAACTGACTCAGAGTCATCTGTCCTGTCAAGAAATTGGAGCCACTTCCAGGGCCCAAAGGCAGGGGCTTGGTTAAGGGTTCTCATCAGCTGCTCCCCACTCCCCACAGCATCCCTGGGTCTACTGAAGATCAGAGAGCTATCCAATTGCCACTGTGGCTGCCTTTCTTTTTTGTTTTGGGACAGACTCTCACTATGTAGCCCTTGCTGGCCTAGAACTCACTTTGTAGACCAGGCTGGCCTTGAACTCACAGAGCTCAGCCTGCCTCTGCCTTCCAAATGCTGGGATTAAAGGTGTGCGCCACCACGCTCAGCTTCACCTTCTTTTAAAAAATTATTTTTATTTATGTGTATGTATATTTATGTCTCTCTGTGTGTAAGCCACATGCGTGCCAGTGCCCAAGAAGTCCAGAATAGAGTATCAGATCCCCTGGAGTTGGAGTTAACAGGCAGTGAGTCATTTGACATGGGTGCTAGTACTCAAACTTGGGTCCTCTGGAAGAGCAGCAAGCATTTTAAACTGCTGAATCATCTCTCCAGTCACCCCCCCCCGCCCCTTTTGAGATGATCTTCCTACATAGCCTAGGCTGGCCTCCAACCCACAGAGATTCTCCTGCCTTAACCCCTTCCAGTGGTGGGATTACAGGCATGTGCCACAACGGGATCTATGGTGGAATGGAGGGAGGGGCAGTACTTTAAACACTGGTATGTTTACTTTTTGCAATAAGTGTCAATTTTACAACAATTTTTAAAAGGCTTGGCAGGCCTTTTAAAGGAAGATTTTTCCCTAATATAGTTCGTAAGCTGAGGGAAGGAAGAAGAGGAGGGAGGGAGGGGGTTGGGAGAGGAGGAGAGGAAGAGGAGGGAAGAACACAGAAACTGATGCTGGCATTGTTCATATCAGGGTCATGGGATATGGGTCATTTTAGTTTCCTGTGTTTTGGGTTCTGTCGAATTTTCCAAACTGTCTACTGAACACAATATAGTTATGTAACCAGACAAACTGCTTCGAAGCAATCTGTGCCTCTGAAGAAGTCAAGGCAATGCTTGCTTGAGGCACAGGGCAGGTAGGTGGTGAGGGTGGTCTGGACCAGTCAGTTGCCCTGGACTTACCTCACGTTCCAGGCACACTACACACTCTGAGGTCTGCACCTCCAGCTCTGCCGGAGGAGCAGATGGTCTCACTGACTCAGGAGGCTCCTGTGAAGCTGTTGGGGGCTCTAGGGCCCTGAGGACTTCATCCTTGGGTGGTTTCATCTCTGAGGGAATCAGAGGGACAGGCTGTCAGGGGGTCATCTCCAGATGACCTGAATCTTTAGGAACTCTCCTGACCTGTGTGCATCCCTAAATAAGTGATGTTGGGGGCAAAGGAGGGGGTGACCTAAGTCCAAGAGCAGAGGAAGACTTTCTCTGAGCCTCATCCCACGTCCCCATCCATGAATCTGCCCTGCCGTCACAGACTCTGCTTAACAGAGGCTTCGAACCACATCACCACCACACTGCAGCGGGGCTGGGCACGGAGAGCGAGTCTCAGAGAGGAGACAGCTCTTGCCCAAGGCCATATCGCCATCTAGTGGTGAAGATGCAGACTAGATGCTGAGCATCCTACCAGGTTCCCCAAGAGGATGGACCCATCAGGTGACCCCAGAATGAGAAGCCCCCAAGGATGTCAGAATTCCCACTTCTCCGAGCAGAGCCCCCATGGAACCCAGTGCTCTGCCTCAAAGCCAGCAGCCTCTAGGCTGCAAACCACAGGCATATACTGCCAAACCTCTGCTCAGAAGTCCTGCCTTAAAGAGCCCCCAAATCAGTACCTGGCCGGACAGGGGACACATCTAGCAGGTCCCGGGCTCTCCGTAGGATCTCATGCTGCAGGCCAGCCTCCAAGATGCCTACCTGTGATAGAGCAAGGAAGAACAGATGGGGTGGGGTCTGGGCAGGATCTAGCTCTGCAGCAGGGGCAGCCACTACGACTGCCTTACCTCCCACCCCTGATGCCATCAGAGGAAGCATGGAAGCCTGGGCCTTCCGGTCAGCATGAGACAGGGCAGAGCCATAGTTGTGCAGGTGGTTGAATCAGGCTTGGGGGCACAGCAACCAGTGTGGCAGAGGGAGAAATTGAGGCCCCAAAAGAAACCAGTAATATGATTTACTGACTGCTTCTAGGGCCAGGGACTGCCTGGACAGCATCACCTGCACCGTAACTTCCCTGGACCATCACAGTCCCTGCATATAGTAAAGTGAGGATGGACAGAAGTGACCAAGGCTCTGCTACTGAGAAACAGCCCGAGCCACACAGTCCCTCACACCAGAGTCCAAGTACCTGGCCCAGGACCCTGTAGTGCCACGCAGTCCTTCCAAGCCTGGTGTCTGCATCTGTCCTGGGAGGCAGGACAGCAGAGTAGCTGAGAGCAGGGACTCCAGGACCAGCCCACCTAGGGTTAAGTCCCAAGCCTGCTGGGAAGTCTTGGTTTCCTTCCCTGAAGATGGAATGCTAGCTCCCTCTGGGGGCTGTTGGGAGGACTTGATAGGCTGGTGTGTGAGACATACTTAGAACAGTGCCAAGCCTGCGCAGGTGCCAGGAGGTGTTAGCCACCATCAGCATTATTTTGCTTTGAAGAAAAGTAGATTTATTCCATGTGAGAAGCTTGGCTTGTAGCCAGGACATAACCAGGGCTCTGGCGGTGCCGTGCTTAAGAATGTGATGCCACAGTCAGACCTGGTGGTGCACACTTTTAATCCCAGCACTGGGGAGGCAGAGGCAGGCACATCTCTGTAAGACTGAGGGCAGCCTGATCTACATAGCGAGTCCCAGGCCAGTCAGGGTTATGGGGAAGACTGTTTCAAACAAAGCAAAACAAAAAACTGAAACCAAACCAAACAAAAAAAACCCACACAAACAAAAGAACGAGATACCACAGCGCAGGCTGAAGCTGAACCAGAAATCAACCACCTGTGCTGGCCTATAGGCAAAGATCCAGCCTGCACAGGTCTGAGGGCAGCAGGACCTGCACTCCTGCTTTGCTTAACTAGATGGCAAGCCAGGCACACAAGTGGGTGGCGGCAGAGGGGGCAGTGGTTGTAGCTTTAGGTCACTAGATGCTAGAGGGCCTTGAGATATCTGATCTAGGCGGACCTTGCCTCACCATAAATCACACACAAACAACATGTCAGCCCTTGGCCAGATTGGGTCTAGGCCTGATTGGCCTCCCTGATCTTACCCCTAGGGCCGTGGCTACCCACCTTGGCCAGGTCCCCAGGGCTCATCCGGTTCAACATGTCCAATGAGATGCGGTGGTGGGCAAAGATGGGCAGGTAGTGCTCAGCTGACAGTTCCACTAAAAGGGCCACCAGCTGGCGCTCCATGCCTTCTTCCTGCAGAACAGCCCCATGAGGAAGGCCAAGGGTGCCAGAGTGGAAGGGAAGACCCCACTGGTTATAAACACATAACATATAAGCGTATCCCTACTTTTTCCCACAGGAAGGTTGTAAGTGCACAGAGATCTACAGACAACGGAGTTCACTGCTGTGCTGTCAGTAAATGTGAAAATAACAAGCCATGTAAATACCCTCCATGAGGAGACTGACTAAAGAAACCAGAGTTCAGTCACGTTAGGTACTATGCAGGTACCTGAAACTGGGAGCTGTCCGCCTGTGTTTCTGAGAGAAAGGCAAGAATCAGAAAGGTATTATAGGAGAACTTGTTTTTTTTTTTGAGACAGGGTCTCCCTGTAGCCCCAGCTGACCTGAAACTCGATATGTAAATCAGGTTAGCTTTGAACTCAAAGATCTGCCTGCCTCTGTCTCCCAAGTGCTAGATTAAAGGTGTGTGTCACTATGCCTGGCAGGACAACTTGATTCTCTTAAAAATTTAACCCACTGGAGGCTGGAGAGATGGCTTAGCAGTTGCCAGAAAGTCAGGCAGAATAGTATATGCCTGCAACCCCAGGGCTGGGGGGCAAGGGATGGTGCAGACAGGTGGATCCTTGATGCTCATTGGCCAGCCAGTCTAGCTGAATCAATGAGCTTCAGGTTTACTGAGAGATCCTGTCTCCAAAAAACAAAAGTGGAGAGTTGACGCCAACCTCTTGCATCCACACTAATAAGTATACAGCGCACACTGTACAGACAAGTGCACTGTATACTTATTAGTGTGGATGTAAGCCAGGCATGGTGGTGCACTCCTACAATCCTAGTATTCAGGAGGCTGAGACAGGAGTTATTCAAGGACATCCTGAGTTACACATATTCAGACTTTGTCTCAAAAAAAGCCCAAACCAAAACCAACCAATCAAACAAACACACACCCCTGTGTGTGTATGTGCTTATGCGTGTATGTAAAGGAAGGGAAGAGGGGGCATGTCTCCCCTGCCCACCTGCAGGGCTCTCTGGTTTCTGCACACACAACAGCGACAGTGCCTTGGGTTTTTTTATTGGAGTGAATTCCCCCTCACTTTCATTTCTGTCCCTGCAGGGGCTGGCAGTGGCCAACAGTGGGGCCTGGCTGAGACACCTCTGGAAGGAGCTTGGCTAGCTCCCAGGCCAGACAAGTACCAAGGTCCTTACCTGCAGCTTTAAGGACAAAGGCTTCTGGTTCAAAAGCCGTTGGTACTGGATGAGCCAGTAATTTTCCTGCTTGGTTTCGCTTTTGGCTTCTAACTCCGTCTGCCAAGAACAAAGGCCAGCACCGTCAGCTACTGAGTGGTAAACAAAGACTATCAGAAGATGATGGTTGCCAACTATGCGCCTCTGAGCAGGTGGGAGAGTGGGCATTTCAGAGGACTTTCCTACCCATCTGTGGCCCCTGCTTTAAGCCACAAAGCAAACAGGAAGTACTGCTGTACCCAGAGGCTACAGAGAATGATCCTGCAGAAGGGAACAAGGCTACTCAATGTCCCACGTGTGGCAAGGGGACCCCTGCTCCTGGCCTCCTACACCTGCTCCCCAATGTATTAATACTTTGGAAAGGGCCTCCTGTGATCTGTAGGTAGGACAGCAAAGCCTTGTGTAGTCTTCTCTGCTCCAGGCAAAGGCAAGTCTGCCCTTGGGAGCCAGGCCGGACACTACCGGGTCCTCAGGACTTCTCAGGGCGGGGTGGGGGCTGTTCTGTTGGGCAAGGGCAGTGATGCCTTCCTTCTGGTACTTGGAAAGTGTTTATCAAGTGTCACTCTGGGTGGACACACTCATGCACTAGTGCAATGCTGGGGAGATGGTGGTGAAGCATTGTGGGGAATGGGCCACTTCCAATGTGTATCAAATAGCACTTGGGCTGTAAGCACTCCTGAGGAACTGTTTATTTTTCTCAGCCAGCACAGGTCTGGCCTAGGATGGAGCTGGGGACATTTGGGGCATTCATAATGATATAGGACTAACTCCATCTTTGAAGCCCTGACAGGTGGACCTAGCATTGGCCTTTAGAGTCTAGATGCCTGCAGGTCTGTAGGGATGTGCATAAATGGGGCCCAGCAACCTCAATAGCGCACCAGAGTCAGAGGTATCTAAGCACAGGGAGCAGCTGGGCCACTCCTGACAAAAGCTTATCAAGTGCACTTGACAGTGAGTCCTGTCCTGGAGAGAATACTCGGGCTGTTGGCGAATCTCGAGGACACTGAGCACTGTGTACAGCAGCTAAAATGCTGCAATAATCTACACGCCCAACCCAGGAGCCTGGCCAGATGCCAGCCCGCCCCCATGCAGAGGACACGTGAATGAGGAGAAAGCATTCTGGTTAAAGGGGGATACACCCGTCTCCCAACTCTGGTACCAGGGACCAAGCCCAGGGCTTCGCACATGCTACGCAAGTGCTCTACTGCTGAGTGCCAGTCTTCGCATTTCTTATTTTGAGACAGAGTCTGGGCTAAGTTGTCCAGGCTAGCCTTGAATTCACTCTGTAGCTCAGGCAGGACTTGAACTTGTAATTCTCCTGCCTCAGCTTTCCAAGGAGTTGGGTGACAGGACTGTGCCACTGTGCCTGGCTGCAGCATGTACCACTTTGTCTAGACAAGGCACTTACACAAATAGCTAGAAATATGCATCATAATGTTAAAAATATACATTGAAATGTTGGTGTGATGCTCAGGTCTGTCAACTTGACACCATCTATAATCACTTGGGAAGAAAATCTCAATGAGGGATTGTCTACATTGGGTTGGCCTGTGGGCATGTCTGTGGGGGCACTGTTCTGTTAACTGATGTGGGAAGACTCAGCCCAACTGTGGGCAGCACCATTCCCTAGGCGGACTGAGCACAAACAAGAAAACAAATGAGCCCGTAGGCATTTACTCTCTCTGCTCTCAACCTGGTGCATATGGTGTGACCAGCTGTCTTGAGCTCCTGTCACTGTGATTTCCCACAGTGATGGACTGGAACCAGGAATTGTGAGATAAAATAAAACTCTCTATCCCCTAAGTTGCTTATCACAGCAACAGAAAAGAAATGAAAACAGCTGGCATTTCCCTATAACACACAGAAGGGAAACTCTTTCCTTCGGTGCCTTCCTGATGGGCACCTACAGCTGAATACCAATGTACCCAACAGGATGGCAGCATGCCTAGGGGATACAAGCCTGCATGGGGCTGAATGTGAGGCCAGGAACGTACCAGGATGTCACAAAGCTCTTCCTCCCGCTGCTTCTTTTCTTTAAGTAGCTGCTGGAGCAGGTTGCTGAGTGCCCAGCGCTGCTCTGAGATCATCTCCTGCAACACAAGACCATACCCAGGGCCACCGTGAGCTCTCAAAACAGCTCCCACAATGCAACCAGGCCAAGGAGCCCCGCTAACTCAGTTCCTAGCTGGCAGTTCAATTCAGGGCTCTGACCAATGCCTCCAGGTTGAATTGAAGAACAGAGCCCAGAGGCACCCCAACCCTAGCATCCCACCTTCTTCCTCCAAAGCCCTCAACTTTCTTCTTTGCAGGCTTCAGGACAGTGACTGATGACAAAGGAGCAGCAATAAACATCAAACAAAAGAAACAAGCCACAGGTCTCGCTTGACCACAGCACATGGATAGAAACAAATGGCAGGGAGGGCTGGTGTAGAGCCTCGCATGATGAGGAGGATGCCACACAGGGAGAAGCATGCACACTGCCTCATGTTTGTGACCACAAACTCATCCTCTTGTCCTTGGAAACCCCAGTGAGGTCCCAATAGCGGGAGGCCTATGGCTCGAATGAGCAGAGACAAGAGTATCTGCCAAGCGCACTGCTGGAGGCTTCTCTGAGCAACCCCAACTGTTCATCTGTGAAAACTGTCAAGGTTCACCAAGGCTCTGATGGCCTGATGACTGGCTGACCCTGGATGATGGTTTCCACATTAGGGAGGGGAGCAAGAGCGACTAGGGACAGTGACCTGCCTAAGACCACACAGCACATCTGGGTAGACCGGAGGGCAGCACTCTCAATGAACTGGAAGTCTGTGTGTCACCTTGAGATTCCTCCACTGAGCACAGACAGGGACAGTGACAGATAGAAACTGCTCAAAAGTTTGGTATGTCATGTGTCTTCACCCACAATCCCATGTTGTCCCTTTGTGTGCATTTGGGGAGAATGAGGTTCAGGGAAGGAAGAGGGATGTCCCTTTGCTCTGTCTGCCAAGGTTGCACAGTCATGTTGAGGGTAGGCTACAGTTACATCTTAGTGTCCAGTCCAGACTGCTATCTGCCAGTCCCTGCTGCCTTCTGGGGTCTGTGAGCAGGACACCCAGGCCAGAGCTAGCAGGTTAGCAATCCAGAAACAGCTGGCCTTTGCTCACATACCCTCCAGACACCAGAAGCCCCTCCATAGGGAACATCAGCCGGAGTAGGACCAGCAGCCCCAAGCCTGGTTTACCCCGACACAGCTGACAGTGACCCACTCCCAAAGAAGGAAATGTGGAGATGGCGATGGGTCTTGGTGGGCCTTGGCAATGAAACCCTCTTTCCTCTGACCCTCCTGCCGGCCACAAAGCTACCCGATCTTTGATCCTGGTCTGTGTGAGCTCTCCTGGGTTGATCCTGGTCTGTGTGAGCTCTCCTGGGACTGGGCTTCTTCAGGGAGCACCTCAGAGTAGATCTGCTCTCTGTCCACTGGGGAAGCCCAGGCCTGGGGGCTGAAGAGCAGCTGTGCTAGGGGTTAGGAGTGGGGTGAGGGTGTCATCAGGCCGGCAGCCTCACATACCTGCAGCGCCTCTGTGTCCAGGGACTTCCTCTTTAACTCCAGCTGTGTCAGCTGCAGTAACTCAGTTTCTATTAACCTAATCTAAACAGAAGACGAGACGGGTTTGATTCACATTCATCATGTTTCCCTTCTGTGTTCTGTCCTGGTCAACCAGAGACTCTGAGTGGCTCAGACAGGTGGCTCTGGACAGAGGGGAACTTGTGGGCCTTGGGACCTCACCAAAAGGGAGTTAAAACAAGCTGCTATTTCATGGCTTTGGGTGGCTTGGGACATGGACACACAAATCTTGGTAAATACCACTGACCAAGAGCCTAGCATAGGGCCCGTCCCAGAACAGGCATCCAGTACAGGTCTGTGGGGTGGAGCAGGGGAGCCTTCTTCTGTCTCAGGAGAGGGAAGAAAGGACAGGGTCATCACATCGCTGTCATGGGGGGGCACCTACTGTGTGCTAGGATTTACTAATCACCTACTGTGTGCTAAGCCTGTGCTGTAGCTGCATCATTTTATCAGTTCTCCTCTGGCTGTTAGGATGCATTATTGCCTTCATTTTAAGGATGAGGAAGCCAGTATTCAGAGAGTTTAAGTCATTTGTCCAAGGACACAAAGCAGGTGAGAGATTTCCCTGGGCTATCCCAACTCATAGTCTGAAGGATAGCTGGCCTGGAGGGTTAAAATTAACCACACTGAGAATGTCTGGACATCTCTACACACTCTCAGACCTCAAAGCCAGTGACTTTTCTACCCTGTGGCCCTGACCTTACCAACCCCTGGTCAGAGGAATGAGCTTCATGTCCAGCAATGTGGGATTGAAACCAAAGAGAAAAATAAAAAAGTTAAGTTGGTTTAGGTCAAACAAGAAAAGAAGTAGAAGAAAAAAATTAAAAGACCATGCAAAAATGTGGAATTCAAAGTGCGTGACTATGAGGCGATGAGCATTCCCATAGCCCAAGAGCATGACGCCCCTCTGGTCCAGCCCCACTCCATGCAGACATCACCCAGGCCCAGCAGGATACCTGCCTTCCCAAGGCCACTCCACAGGTCACCAGTGGATTCTGCATGGGAGGGTGCCAAGGTCTCTCCTCAGTAGACCTCAGGACTCAACTGCCTACCCAAGTGGGAAATCAAACCTATCTCAAGGATTCATTTTGTTGTCCAGTCACTTTAAATTTATGGGGGGGGGGTCCTGGGGGTCTGAGATGGCCATTTTCCCAGCAAAGGAATCATGTTACTGTTGCTTGTTCCCTAGCCCGTGCATTATGGAAGCACCGAGAACAGACAACATTTGCTGGGCAGACTTCTGGCCAGGCTCTGAGATGAAGCCACCTCCAGAGTAGGTCAAGGCACAAAGCAACAGCCCCAATACTGCTGTAGTGGAAAAGGTGGTCTCCAAGCTGGAGGCCCCTAGTGAGCTGGCGAGCTATGGACTGAAGCTTTAATGGCTGCTGCCTTGATAGGGCGGACCCATAAGTCTCTGAAAGCTGAGAGAGCAGGACGAGGTGGGTCCATGCACTCACCTGGTTCCTAATCTGCCGATGCATCAGGTCTTTCTTCACCTGAAGAGCCTCAAATGCAGCCTTTTGCATTGCACTCTGCAAGAGACCATATACAGGCAGTTCAGGCAAGGTCACACACCCAGGCTTTCCCTGTGGGCCAGACAGGGAGCAAAATCTGCCTATGAAACACTGTAAAATGTGATTTCTATGCTTCTTGGGAAGACAAAGAAATAACTATATTCTCTTTTTTTAAAATTTTATTTACTATTTTTATTTTATGTGTATGCGTGTATTGCCTGGATGTAGGTAAGTGCACCTGTGTCATGCAATGCCCGTGGAGGTCAGAAGAGGGTGTTGATCTCCTGGAACTGAAGTTACAGATGGTTACCCAACATGTAGGTGCTGGGAACCAAACCCAGGTCCTATCCAAGAGCAGCCAGTGCTCTTAACCTCTGAACCTCCCCCTTGCCCCACCCCCTGTCCCCTGTCCCGTCTCTGATACAGGGTACATATAACTTAAGCTAGCTAGCCTTGAACTCAAAGCAATTCTCCTGTCTCAGCCTCCTGAGTATTGGGATTACAGGTATATGCCACTATGCCCATATGAGAAATAACTTTTTGTCTCATTTATTTAAAATGTAAAAATTATACTATTTAGGGTTCTGGGGTAAAAGAGCAGGTTATAAGCTATCTCTGTGTGACTGTGGGAATGAGAGGAGTCAGGGTAACAAAGCTATTCTAAAGAAAGAGAGGAAGAGAGGAAGGGGCTGGAGGGAGGGCTCAGCAGTTAAGAGCACTGGCTGCTCTTACAGAGGACCCAGACTCAATTCCCAGCACCTATATGGTGGCTAACAACTGTCTGTTACTCCAATTCCAGGGGAATCCAACCCCCTTTTCTGGCCTCCATGGGCCCTGCATGACACAAGGGCACTTACATATATGCAGGCAATATACTCATACACATAAAATAAAAATAATATTTTTTAAAAATCGGGGCTAGAGAGATGGCTCAGCAGTTAAGAACACTGGTTGTTCTTGCAGAAGACCCAGGTTTGAATCCCAGCACCCACAGGGCAGCTAACAACTGTCCTAAACTCCAGTCCCAGGGGATTTGACAGCCTCTTCTGACCTCCGCGGGCACTGCACGACACGGGTGCACTTACCTACATGCAGGCAATACACTCATATACACAAAATAAAAATGAATAATTAAATTTAAAAAAAAAAAAAAAAAAAAAAAAAAAAAAAAAAAAATCAACAAACTCCAGAGTCAAACTACACAAGGTTATAGAATCAGCCTGGCTATGCATCAACAGATCATCAGATCAAGGAAGCCTGGTACATATACACAGTGGAGCTTTATTCAGCTGTAAAGGACAAAATTATGCCATTTCCAGGACAATGGATGGAAATGGAGGTTATCATGTTAAGTGAACTAAGCCAGACTCATGTTTCTGTCTCATCTGCGGACTCTAGATTTAAATATATATGCCTATTTATATACGAAAAGACATGACAATGGAAGGGGGAGGGGGCATTTCAGGAGGAGGAAGCGAGCCAGTGGGAGAGGAAAGAAGGGAAAGGGTGATGTGATAATGAGCAGAGAGCATGGGAAACATGCATGAAGATGTTGTAATGTGCCCATCATTTCGTGTTAAGACTTACTGCGGGAGGGCATCGCGCCGACCACTTCCTAAACTGTGCCCTGCATTTATTTATTTAGAGATAGAGTTTCACTGTGTCACCCTGGCTGGAATTCACTATGTAGACCAGACTGGCCTCAAACTCACAGATCTACCTGCCTAGGCCTCCCAAGTGCTGGGATCAAAGGTGTGTGTCATCACCATTACCTCTTTTTATTTATTTTTGAGATGAGAGTCTCATGTAGCCCAAGATGGCTTCCAACTTAAACTTCCTATGTAGCTGAGGATGGTCTTGAACTGCTGATCCTCCTGCCTCTACTTCCTAAGTGCTGGGATTACAGGCATGTGACATCACACCCAGTTTTACATGGTGCTGAGGATGGAATCCAAGGCTTTGTGCATGCTGGGTAAGCACTCTACCCACTTAGCTATATCCAGCACAGCAGATTTCTACAACAGCTAGGTGGCATGCCCACTTCTGCTGCCTATTTCAGAGATGAGGAAAGTCAGGCTGAGGGACATGGGTTGGCCAGGAAAGGTATCAAGTTGACCCAGACCCTGAGCCTCTCCTTAAATGGAGGCAGGTGACATCCCTGAGAAACAGGGTTCTCTGTAGACAAGTCCAACAGAGAGTAAATCACATTATTTTGAGAGAAGAAAGAGACTGGAGGCAATAGAGGAACAGTGAGGTGGTTGAGCAGGGCCAGGATGATGCAAACAGGAGAGGTGAGAGACATGGGAGAGAAGTGAGGGCAGGCTGCAGGGACAAGGCTGAATGGGTAGAGTGGGGTCTGCTTGACCTCTCCAGAGCTCTGCCTAGCACCTGTTGGGTGCCAGCTGTCAGTGAAGCACAGTAGGGAGAGGAGGAGAGGCAGAGGCCCTGCCCCAGTTCTAGGCATTAAGTCCTTAGGATGAGTCCCCTACCCAGGGTGGGATGGGCACCCCCAGGGAGCAGGAGGGGACCCTTCTCTACAGTCAGGGACCAGAGGGCCACCCTTGCAGACTGATGACCTCATATCTCCAAGGTCACAAAGCCCCAGGTGGGTCCTATAGGGTCTCAGCCATGCCCTTGGCAAGGGCTCACCTCTTGCAGGATCTGGCTGATGGCCTTGTTCTGATCCATCTGCTGCCACGACAGAATCTTTTGGAATCGCTTGTCCATTTCAGCCATGCTACCAGAAAGACACCACAGTCACACACTGAACAGTCCCTGAACACCTACTGTATGCTGGGTACACACACCAAGATAAACACTTATTCATTCTACTAACAGAGTGCATGCTGGGGGCTGAGTCACAGACAGGCAGTCTATGGTCTGCAAGGAGGGAGGTAGAGCCAAAAGCTGGCAGAGAGAATTGCTTAGGTCCTAGCCCTCCGCTGGATTCCCTCCATAACACCCCCCACCCCCAAAGTGGGTGCCTGGCTCCTGTCCAACCACCTCTGAACCTCCTGGTGAGCCACTCAGCTTCAGGAACATTCTGTTCCTCCTTCAGGACAAGGCTGGTGACCGTGGTACAGAACCTACAATCTCGGTCTTTCCACATCAGCTGTCCTAGCTTTGAGTTTCTCTCATACTGACTTTTAATCATTATTATTATTTTGCTGTTTATTTGTTTGTTTGTTTTTTGGTCTTTTTGAGACAGGGTCTCCCTGTAGCTCCAGCTGGCCTGGATTCGCTATGGAGATCAGGCTGGCCTCAAACTCACAGAGATCTGCCTGCCTCTGCCTCCCAAATGCTGGGATTAAAGGCGTGCGCCACCATGCCTGACTTTTTGCTGTTTGAGACAGGATCTCATGTAGACCAAGCTGATGTGGAACTCACTATATAACTCAGCCTGGTCTTGAACTTCTGATCTGCCTGCTTCTACCTACCAAGTGCTAGCTTTACAAGCACGTGCCACCACACCTAGCAAAGATTTGATTTTTTAAAAATATTCATTTTTAAATATTTTATTTATTATTTTGATTTTATGTGTATAAGTGTGTTGCCTTCATGTATGTGAGTGCACCCGTGTTATGCAATGCCTCGGAGGTCAGAAGAGGGCTTCAGATTCCCCTAGAACTTGAGTTAAGTACAGTTTGTAGCCACCATGTGGGTGCTGGGAATCGAACCCAGGTCCTCTGCAGGAGCAATCTTAACTGCTGAGCCGTCTCTCCAGCCCCTGATCCCGTTTTTCTAGATTTATGGGTTAGGAGGGCAGTATACTTGCACAGCTTCAGCTATCAAGCAGAAGTGCCCTTGAGGCCAGGTCTGTGCCCAGGCTCCTGAGGACAATGTCATGGACCAGGAAAAGAAGAGAGAGGGAGGCTGGCACCGGCCAGATGTATGAGGCTGTTGTGTACTGAGAGCTTTTCCCACCTGTTCTACTGGGCACCTGGAACCTTCCATAAGCCACAGTGCTAAGGGAAACTCAGTGGTCATTAAGAGGGAAGCAACCTCATCATCCCTGTAGCATATCCTTCTTCTAACATGTGGCCCCTCAGAGACTGACAGACCAGAGTCAAGAGCACCCCTCTCTTGACCACGTACACAGAGCCTCAAGTCCTGGCCCTGCCCTTGTGGGTTGTGCCTCTGTGAGGGTGTTACCAAATCTCTCAGAACCTCAGCTTGGATGTGAAAGGTAACAAATGATAGTCCCCACAGATAGCCTAGGGCGTGGGGCACAGGAATGGAGTACCTGCTCTCACTTTATCACTACCCTTATCAGACTCACGCAGTCCAGAAAGGAACTTCAGGAAGGCTACTTATCACCTGTCCCTGAGAACTTGGCTGAGGCTGGGACAGCTCCACAGGAATGGAGTACCTGCTCTCACTTTATCACTACCCTTATCAGACTCACACAGTCCAGAAAGGAACTTCAGGAAGGCTGCTTATCACCTGTCCCTGAGAACTTGGCTGAGGCTGGGACAGCTGAGGGAATTCCAGTGCCCAGCTCTCACCCCAATTCCCCCGCCCCCTGCAGCCAGCTTCCCAGAGACCTTACCTGGGAATGCTCTTCCTTACCTTACCTGGAACAGGCCTGCTGGACCATGCTCTGCCTCTGAGACTCATAGGCCGTCTGGATGAGCCGGCTCTTACAGCTCTCGGTCAGCATCTGCTGCATGGCAGCTGCAGTAAAGGGGTGAGGGCCAGTGTGAAAGGGCAGCTGCTCCAGGGTTCCCCAGGTAGGGACAAGCCTGGAGGCTTCATGTGCTTAATGCTAGATGGTCTCCCTTAAAGTCCCTCCCTTCCTTGACAGAGTCTTGCTGGGTAGCCAGACTGGCCAACCTAGGACCGAACTCTCAATCCTCTTGCTTCAGCATTCTAAGCGCTGGGATTACAGATGTGCGCCAGTGCACCCTGCCTTTTTTTGTCATTTTTTGTTTACAAAAGTAATCTAAATCTGGAAGGCTTATTAACCACATGACACTGAACAACCCTACATGTAAAAGCTTGTATAACCTTTTGAGGTCTCCTGCCTACCTATTATTTTTATTTTTTACATGTATGAGTGTATTGCCTGCATGGATGTAAGTGCACTCTTGTCATGCAATCCCCATGGAGGTCAGAAGAGAGTGTTGGATCCCCTGGAACTGGAGTTATAGACAGTTGTTAGCCACCATGTGGGTGCTGGGAACTGAACCTATGTCTTCTGCAAGAGCAGCCAGTGCTCTTAACTGCTGAGCCATCTCTCCAGCCCCCTGCTTCCATCTCTTGAATGCCGGGTTACAGGCTTTGTGACATGTTCAGGCATGACCCCATATGATCCTCCTGATGACCCCATGTAGTAGGTAGACAACTGTAGTTTTCTCCATTTTACAGATAGGAAAATTGAGGCTCAGAAAAGTTAGTGACCAGTAATGCCTCTGAGATCTAAAGCCAAGCCTGACCCCAGAGTCCAAGTTCCCTGACAGTCTTGGCTGCCCCTCTCCAGGGCTGACTCTCAGTACCCTCCACTTGTGACCAATAGAGAGGGGTGGTCCACCTATCAACTTAGTCAGCAATCACTGACCAAAGGACCCTCATCTTTCCACCCCATAACTCACAGGCAATCTCACGTTGCCGCAGGTTCTCCGTCTCCTCCTGGGTTATGGACATCAATTGTTCCATTCTTATTCTAGGGGGGGGGCAAAAAATGCATTCATTCATTGAATACAACATTTCCAACAGGGAATCCTGCTGGATGAACCCCACTTCCTCCAGGAAGCCTGCCACGATGTACTAACGCAGGTGTGCTCTTTGCATGCCCAGCGTTCACATCCCTCCAGACCCTGCTAAACTCTGACCTAGAGATAAAGAACCTTGGGTAAAAGATGAACATTTCCTTAGGAAGTGAGCCATGGATGCAAAGAGCCAATGCTGCAGTTCCTGACACCCGGGCAGGGGTGCCGGGATTAAGGATGCTGTTGCTGGCGACTTCAGAGAACAGGGCACCTTCATGCACTGTCAAGGGGGATGGAACTGGCAGCATGACTGTGGAAAGCCAGGTCAGCACCTATCTAAACACCCTTTGAATATTTCCCTCAAAAACTGTCACTTCTGTGTCTAAGAGGACACTGAGAGTCTATTTATGTCATATTTGAAACTATGAAAAACTAGTAGCAATGTAAAACTTCGTGGACGGAGGGCTGATAAAAAGAAGTTAAAATACAGCCATGTTGTAGAATTCTCTCTGGCTACAATCAACAAGGTTTTGGCACCGATATTAACAGAAGTGAAATTTTAAAAAGGTAAGTGCATACACATGTGCGTGCCGTGAGTACTTCGTGTTCAAGTGCTAAGAAAGGCCTGATGGATCAGCATCCTGCCAGTTTCTGTGGGTGAGGCTTAGTGCAAGGCTTGGATCCTTTGAGGCTGCCGTTTGGTAGGGGGCTGTCCTCTAGGCCTGACCTAGGCTTGACCTAGGCCAGCACTAGGTCCGGTCTGTCAGTGTGGGCTGGACAGATGGTGCCACCAGCCACCACTCAGCTGAAGTGGGCAGGATGGTTTCCAGAGAGCCCTCTACAGGCCCTCCCATGTGGTGAGGGCTGGGCTGACCCCCAGAGAAAAAGGAGGAAGTCACAGTGGACACCTCAGAAAGGAGCAGAAAGTGGGTGCAGCCCCTCCTACTGATCACTTTCTATTTTTTTAATGCTTGAAAACTGACCATCACATATCTAACCTTCTTTATTAATGTTCCTGAACTTTTCTCAAAAGTATAAATGGGCTTTGAAAAACTTGCAAAGAACCACTCTTAGTTAGATGCTAAGAGGTGACTCTCCCAGAGCATCAGGAAGACTCCAGCGAAAGCTGTGAGAACCCAGGTGCTGCCCCTTCCCTGGAGCTTTGAGAATTCAGGGTGCCCTTCCCCAATGCTGTAGAACCCAAGTGCTGCCCCTTCCCTGGAGCTGTGGGAACCCAGGGCCCCCTTCCCCTGATACATGGTCCAGGAGGCACACTTACCTCTCATTTTCCAGTGACTTTAGAATCTCAGAACTTTTCTTTTGCCTGTGGGAAAACCCAGAGACAGTGCCTGTGGTCACTTAGGGCCAGGCAGAAGCATCTGAGCCCCCTGGCCAGGAGCTCTATTCTCAGCCCTGTGAGAGTGAAAACACTCCCTTCGGTTGTTTGTTAAGAGTAAACGAGGGAACACACAAAGTGCCTGGCACAGAAGCATCAGCAAGTGTCCACTTTCCTGGGCTCACTCTGACATGACCGATGACAGCGGAGCTGTGGTGCAGGACACAGAAAGAAGGATGCCTGGAGCTAGTGGACATGTAGCTAAAGCCAGTTTCTAGTCTTCCTGCTGTGGACCCCTAACTAGACATTTTCAGGCTTCTTGAGATCTCTAGTTGGCCCCTTTCTCTCTACTGCCATCACAACCTGTTCTTAGTAGTTTCTAGTTAGGACAGTGTGTTAATCTATAGGGTAAGTGGCTGACCTCACAAAACAGGCTACAGATAATGCCAGTAGGATGTAATTTTTTTTTAAGTGTATGAGTGTTTTGACTGTACCATGTGCATACAATGCCCAACGATGCCAGAAAAGGGTGTCAGATGCCCCGGAACTGCAGTTACGGGTGATTGTTAGCTATCTTGTAGGTGCTGGGTACCAAAACTAGGTCCCCAGGAAGAACAGCCAATGCTCTACACACTGAGCCATCTCTCCAGTCCACAGGGTGTGATTTTTAAGCCACTCATTTTACAGAGGGAAAATTCTATGAGCGATCAACAGCAATCCCCATGACAAGGCCTCCCTGTCTTTGCAATGCCAGGATAGGGTTATTTTTGTAAAATCAGAGTGGACCAAAGCACCCGCTTGGGTCCTAGGACTGCTTGGGCAGGAGAGGAGACTGTGAGAAGGGGCGCTCTGCCCCCTGGCCTTGGAAGGCATCCTGGGGGCCGGCCAGGGCTGACCTCTGGTTGTCCTGCAGGAGTTTCTGGATGCGGCTGGCGATGCTCTGCTCTGTCTGCTTCAGCTGTTCCTGCAGCCGCTGCCGTTCTGCATCCAGGCAGCGCTGGTGCTCACTCAGGCCCTGTTCCAGCCGTGTCTGCTCCTGCAGTGGGAGACACAGGTCCTGAGCCACAGGGACTCCAGCCACAGGCACAGTGGGGAGCTCTGACTGCAGTAAAGAGGTCCTCTCTGTGACCCTGGGCTGACCCCCTCCTCACTAGGCCTCTGAGTGTCCACTGTGCCCAAGGGGGTTTGGCCAGGATTGTAGAAATGACTTTTAGTAAATGGACATAATCTGGACCAATGGCTTAATTAACCCTAGCAAAACCATGTGCTCTTGTGTCTTGTGACCTGGGCACCTGATCTTGTTTCCTGGGAACCTTATATTGGTACTCCACCCAAAAAGATAACGAAGGAATGTGGGTTTGCTTGAGAATTAACATATCTAAGTGCTGAAAGGTGATGCTCCATCTCTATTGCATACAGTGAAGACTGGGAAGGAGGCATAACCTTGGGTGAATGAGACATTCTAGAACTAGGGATGAAAAGACAAGGATGGTCTCTTAAGATTAGGGTGAAGCTGGAGAGATGGCTCAGTGGTTAAGAGCACTGATTGCTCTTGTAGAAGACCTGGGTTTGAATCTCAGCACCCACATAGTGGCTAACAATTGTCCCTAACTCCAGCTCCAGGGGATCCAATGCCCTCTTCTGTCCTCCAAGGGTACTGCCTAACACAGGTACACTTACATATATGCAGGCATAACACTTGCACCCATACAATAAAAATAAGAAAGATTAAAAAAAGGGCAGGACTGGACTGGGTTCGAATCCCAGCACCCACATGGCAGCTAACAACTGTCTATAACTCCAGTTTCAGAGGATCTGATAGCCTCTTCTGTCCTCCGCAGGCATTGCACGGCATGGGTACACTTACCTACACACAGGCAATACATTTATATACATAATAAAAATAAATAAAATATTAAAAAAAATTAGGGTGAAGCCAAGCTTGTACTTCCCCAGGTGAAGCTGGAGAAACTATTTTGAATGAAGTCATGGGTAGAGCTGATTTGGGGACACAGTTCCAACAACACAGTTCCAGGAGACAGAGGATTCCAAGAGATCCAGGGAAACAAGCATCCTCTGAGCTCAGGCCCACTCTTAAAGACCAAATTTAAGAGTCAGGTTTTTTTGTTCAGGTAATTGTAATGTTGGCACAGTATCACCACAGGGTGGATAGTCAAGATTTCCACAGGGCATGATGGGACAACTTAATCCCGTCCTTCCACCTCGGTGGAGTGTCAGCCTGTGCCAGGATGCCAGAGTGGGGACACGGGGCAGGCTGGTGTGTGACCACCCCACCTGTCTGACTGTCTGCAGGATCTCGTCCTTGTGGTTGTGGCTCTGCCGCAGCAGTCTCGCGTGCTCTCGCTGCCCGAGGTCCAGGCGCCGCTCAAACTCCAGCTTCTCCAGCATCTTCTGCTCCTGCAGGGACAAGACACCCGCTTTTCATGTCTAATGCAGAGCCAGGAAGAAGTTACTTTCTCAACTGTTTGAGAAGCTGAAGTCACCAGTGAGAAGAAAGACTGGAGAGAAGGTATTCCTTACCTTCCGTTTCTCATAGTCCGAGAACCGATTCTGTGGAGAGAAGAGTCGCAGGTCAGGAGAGGCTGTGGTTCCCAATAGCACCAGGACCCCATGAATACCCTGGCCCACCCAGACTGCTGTACTGGGATGGGGAGATGGAGGGATAAGGATTGATAAAGGGTCCTGGGAGGTTCAAGGGAACTCCAGGGTGAGAACCACTTGGCACCAAGGGAAGGAGTGCTTCAAGACAGCTCCAGAGGGCAGCACTAGGCAGAAAAGACCCAGAAACGGGCCATCCACCTCCCTGGATATCTGTGTAATAGCACCCAGCTCTGTCCACCAAACCCTCTCAAGTGCAAAGGTGCTATACAGGTTCCCATAGAATTATTAAGCTGGAAAACTGAGATTAACTCAAACATCTGGGTGAGATGGCTTTCCCCAAGGTGCTGGTGGGGGAAGGGGCATGGTTTGTTTAGGGAACAGAGAGGAACCCTGGGCAGCTGATGGGTGGATGGTGAACTGGTAGCCTGAGGCAGCCACAGCAGCTAACCCTGTTGGTCTGAATGGAGGAATCTGGGGGTGCAGCTCTGAACATCTTCTCATGACAGCAGCCCCCAACACCTTCACAGGCCCAACTGTACACACACATCCCCATAAGTCTCACCTTACCTGCCACTCAGCCTCATTCTTGGAGAAGCTGTCTGTAGGTCCGTCGGGGCTGTCTCGGGAGTTCTCAGCTCCATCCTGCTCTAGGACGGGCAGCAGGTACTGAGAAGGGGGGTAATATTCCAGCCCTGACTCTGTGAGGGAAAGAACACAGGCTAGGTAGGCGCATCGAGCTGCTGTTCCCTGCCACCCGTGTCATCTTCATCTCCCTCCTCCACAGCAGCCTGCCCAGCCGGCTCAGTCAGCTCTCACTCAGTCAGCTCTCATCTCCCTGAGCTGGGCCTCACTATAGTCTTATAATTAAAGAATCCCTTAAAGCTGGGCCTGGGCCTGGCAGCATAAGTCAGTAATCCCAGCTACTGAGAAGCCAGGATAGCTTCAAATTCTAGGCCTGCTAGGTCTATAAAGTTCAAGGCCTGCCTGAATAACTTAGCAAACACCCTATAAGACCTGGTCTCAGAATAACAGAACAGAAATGGTATGTTCGTGTGGTAGAGCACTTTGCCTACCTAGTGTGAGGACCTAGGCTTAATCTCCTAGGGAGGGAAAAATTTATATATTTTTAGTAAATACACGTTTAAGCTGTATCCATACTGGTTTATTTTTTACACCTATTGTTTACATAAATATTACAGGATTTTCATTTTCATTTATTGATTTTTTTGTTTTATGTATATGTGTGTTTTGCCTGCATGTATGCAAGTGCACCACATGTATGCAATGTCCACTGAGGTGTGAAAAGGACACTGGATTCCCTGGAACTGGAGTTCCAGATGGTTATTAGCCATCATATGGGTGTTGGGAACCAAGCCTAGGTCCTTTGTAAGAGCAGCCAGTGCTGCTAACTATTGAGCCATATTGGTAGCCCATATTACAGGATTTTTTTTTTTTTTTTTTTTTTTTTTTTGGTCTTTTTGAGACAGGGTCTCCCTGTAGCCCCAGCTGGCCTGGATTCAACTAAGAAGACCAGGCTGGCCTCAAACTCACAGAGATCCACCTGCCTCTGCCTCCCAAGTGCTGGGATTAAAGGCATGCCCCACCATGCCCAGCTACAGGATTTTAAAACATTATTTTAGCCCGCCCTCACCTCCCTCTGTTTCCCTGGGCCTGCATGACCTGCAGGCCTCTCTCCCGGGTAAGTCGATCACACTCTCCCCTCTGTGCCTTGACTCCCCCAGCCTCATTCACCCTCCCATCTCCCTTGCCCATCTCTCCTCCTAGCCTGGGTACTGTCCCATTCCTTGTCTTGGTGCCCCAGACACCTAGGAAAACACCACTGCTCCCTGATCTATTGCATCCAGACCAACCCAGTTCCTCAGTGCAGTCCCAGGAGCCCTTGGGGCCTCTTCCCGCCCCATCTCCCTTTGCATCTCTGGGTGGCATGGCCACCAGTTGCCCTAGACCAGCATCTTTCCTGGGCCCTGCTCTCAGGCCAGCCCAACCCCCAAATTCCTGAGGCCAAAATCTTTCCTGGAGGGATCCAGACCTTAGGGGAAAGTCTGAGAGCATCTGATCCTCATCTGACTTGGGCCTCTGTGGGAACTCCTGAAGACAAAAGCAATCTGGCCACTCCAATATAAAATCAAAAGAGAGAACCAGAAGCTTAGGAACCAGCTTTTCATACCCAAAAGTAAACCATAAAGGCACATAAAGTTCACAAAAAGACGCAGACCTAAACTTGAAGGCCTGAGTCTCACACAAGAATCAGAAACTACAAAAGAAATTCACATGTCCAAATCACAGAGAAAAAATAATAACATGAAAAACCAAAATAACATATCCCCACCAAATACCAATAGTCCTCTAGAGGAGCACAATGAGAATCCCCTAGAGACAATGCAGGACATGGAACTCTAAAGAACGATTATAAACATGATAGAAGAATTCAGTGAATTTAAAGAACACACAAAGAAATCAAAGAACTGAAGAAAGATAGGGATAAACTTTGTGAATTCAGAAAAGAGTTAGAAATATTGAAGAATACTCAAGCACTGTTACCTCACAATGGATTATTTTTATGTCATATTGTAACATTGTGATTTCACAGTGGATCATTGTGATGTTACATTGGT